ATCCTTCTGCCTCAGCTGTCCAAGTAACTGGAACTACAGGTACATGCCACCATGCCTGGCTAATTTTTTGATTTATTGTAGAGATGAGGTCTCACCACGTTGCCCAGCCTGGTCTCAAACCTGTGGGCTCAGGCAATCCTCTCACCTCGGCCTCCCAAAGTGCTGGGATTTTAGACGTGAGCCGCTACGTGGCCATGTTTTGATTTTTTTTGTAGACATGAGGTCTCGCTATGTTGCTTAGGCTGATCTTGAACTCCTGGACTTGAGCAGTCCTCTGCCTCAACCTCCCAGAGTGCTGGGTTACAGGTATGCACTACCATGCTCAACCTGAATACTTTAAATTTAGAGCCTCCAGGTGATCATTGCTCTCCTTGTTCTGTGATGTACATCCCGGCTGCCCTGCCTATCCTGGATTTTGGAGAGCTGACCACACCACGGGGGCAGCACCAGGTCCCCGGGCTCTCGGTCACTGGCTTCCCAAACCACTAAACATGTTTTTCTAAGAAAAACATAAAGATGGATTTGTAAGACTGGAGTCCTAGTATTGATACAAGTGGTGGAACATTTTGGGGTCCCTGTGGGATAGGGAGGGTACCTTCAAGAAAGTGTGATGGGGATTCTTTTCAAGGGAACAGTGTGTGCCTGGGCTGGTAGGAGTGAGTACCTGCTGGGCTGCGGCAATGGCACCTGGGGCTGAGCGCCCTGGCCTTTTCCCCCATTGACTGGGGAAGGATGGTTGGGTATAGGCCACAGAGATGCCTGGCACAAGCTCATGCCTCTGGGTCTGTCTTTGGCTCAGAGAAGGGAGAAAGTGACAAGAGAGAACTGGTTGAAACAGACAAGCCCCACAGCGCCCCTTCCTTATGGTGTGCTCATGAAACACCCAGGAACTGGGACGCTTGTCCTGTTGATGTCTTCTTGAACACAGTGCTGCCCAGAGCCAAACTCTGGCTGTTGTTAGCAGGAGATCTTGTCTGGGGAGCTTTCCATACACAGTTCTGTATCCCCCTTGGGTGTTTTGCTGGGCTTCGGGATCTGGGGGCTTCTGGGCAGTTGAGCCCTGTGTCCAGGGCCAGGCCTTCTAGAGGAAGTCCAGGGGTCAGATGGAGGAAGAATGTGGGACCTGCTGGCCAGCACTCCTTGACCACTCAGGGCCATCTTCCAGTCAGTAAGCCCTGTCCTCCCTGCTCCCAGCTCCCTCTGCCTCTGAGGTTCACTCTGGTTTAGCCCCGGGGTTGTTCCCTTGGGGCCTGTCCAGTGACCCTCTGGCTCTGGTCTCCCCTCATGCCCAGCTTCACGAGGGCCCCGAGGCCTGGCACTGAGTGGGCTCTTAGTGGGTGTTTGTTGAATGTATAAATGAGATCACAATTGTTTTTACTGATGATCTGCAGCAGTTGGGCCTTTTTGTGGGTCCTAGACCAGGCTATGTTGGCTGTGTAGCAAGCCACCTTGTGGCCGCGTGGGAGTGAGCCGCCACACTTGCAGGTGTCAGGTTCTGAGGGCGCTGTGTGCGTGGGTATCATTCTGAGGACACTCATGTGGTGCTTTATGGAGCGGCCCCACGTGGCGGGTCTTTGTAGGTCCTTGGTCTCAGCAGGGCCACGTGGCAGAAGCCAGGGCTGCAGGTGACGTCCGTGTCCCAGTTGTCTGGCCAAGTTTGTTCTAACCTGAAATCTCACACCCTCGTTTTGAAGATTTCCTGTGAGTTTTGATGGTTTCTTCTCTGCTTGAGGAGGCACGTACAGAGGGAGGTCGGCGGGGCTTCTGGCCTGCTTTCTGCTGTGAGAGTTTTACACACACAGAGCTGCAGGCAGCCTGGATGGTGGCCTCGGGTCGTTCCCAGTTTCAGCTGTTGACCAGCTGATCTTCCTTGTTCCATAAGTTACCCCACCAACCCTGTTATCATGACAAAAATCCCACATGTGCTACATTTAATCCACACGTATTTCAGCTTGTGGCTCTCAGAGAGAAGGCTTCTGTGAGGAGTTACTATATGACACTTTATTTTTAAATTTTTTTTATTATTTATTTATTTTTGTGAGTTGGAGTCTCACTCCGTTGCCCAGACTGGAGTGCAGTGGCACGCTCCTGGTCACCGCAGCCTCGACCTGCTGGGCTCCGGCGATCCTTCTGCCTCAGCCTTCCAAGTAGCTGGAACTACAGGCGTGTGCTACCACACCTGGCTAATTTTTTTGACTTTTTGATTATAGAGATGAGGTCTCGCCAAGTTCCTCGGGCGGGTCTCGAACCTGCGGGCTCAGGCAATCCACTCACCTCAGCCTCCCAAAGCGCTGGGATGACAGGCTGAACCACCGAGCCCAGCCTACTGTATGACACTTTAAATGCCACCAGCGACCCTTGTCATCAGTTGTTCAATCTGGAGGCATCCAGTGTTATAGAGATGCCTTTGCCAGGTCCTTCTGGTGGGCATGATGGCCTCTTGGAACCTGCTTCTAGCATGACATTAGTTGGCCTGTCTTCTTTCAAGGTAGCTTCTTTGGCATATAATAAATGCACATATTTCATGTGTATGCTAAGTTTTAATGTTTATGTCTAGACATGTGTGTACCCATGAAACCATTACCACAATCAAAACAGCGGGAGGGCATCTCTTGTCTTCTTTCCTCATCCTGGATTTGCTGGAGAAGCTGGTCTTTGTGCTGTCTGGTTTCACTGGCTGTGTCCCCATGATGCAGTCCAGGACACACTTGGGTGTGAATTATCATGTGATGCTTCCACGCCTGTGAAGCCGCCACTCAGCCATCATTGTGACGTTTCCTCCTTTCTTTCATACTCCTTGTAACTTATTTCCTGGGGAAGCGGGTTTTGTCCTGTGGGACCCCTGGGCCTGCTGGTATCCCCCTCTGTACTTCCTGATGCTGGAAGGTCAAGCTAGAGATGGGGCCACCTCTCCCAGGGAACCTGACACTGTCTTGGAGTCAGTCCCTCAGAGTGTCGTTGACCAGTGCTGTCCAAAGGCGATGGGCGCATGCCCTCGATCCTCCTTCACCCACTCATGGGGACACGTTCATGCAGTGTGGTCGCGCCCTGTCACCCGGTGACTCAGTGGCACAGGTGGTGCCACAGAGGACAGAATGAAGGCTTGATCTGTCTCCTCGCTTGCTGGCTTCTAAGTGACATGTGACTGGATACTCCGGCCAGCGCTGACCCATCTGTTTCTGTTTTGGTATCTTCATGAATGCTGGATGTGAATGTGACTGACATATGCCAGCCTGTTGCCATTCACTGGTGCTGAGTGTCTCATCTTTGTGGTGGGAGCTTCTGTAGGTCCAGCCTGGGCCTCTTGGCATGGCCCATGGCTCGGTCTATGTGGTGCTGCAGTGGCAGAATTCCACAGCCTGGACAACTGAGCATGAACAGAAACCAGCTCATCATTCTGGAGGCCGGAAGTTGAGCCCGAGATACAGGCATCTGGTGAGGACTTTCTTCCACGAACTCCATGGCCCAAAGAGGAAGGACCGAGGAGAAGGGGGTGAGGGAAAGGGAGGAGGGAGCGTCTGGGGTGGGGGGGCCAAACTTACCCTTTATGACAAACCCACGAGGCAATGGTGTGAATCCACTCCTGAAGGTGGACCCCCCAAGCCCAGTCTCCTCCCAGAGTCCCACTCCTAAAATGGCCACAATGGCAGTCACCGTTCAGCATGCGTTTGGAGGAGACAGACATTCAGATCTTGATACCCCACGTGTGGCGCATGATAGCCTATCCTGGATTCAGCTGTGTCCCTGCAGGAGTCCTAGCTCCTCTTGCGGCTCTTGGGGGAGCATGTTGCTGGGAGTTGTGGGCAGGTGTATGGTACTGGGCATTAGAAGTAAGAATTAGCAAAGGAAAGCAAACCCCAGCCAGTAAGCAAGGCGACTCATGCTGGTTTCCAGACACAGCTGCTGGTACCTGGTGCCACTAGGCTGGGGAGGGAGCAGGAGGAAGGAGCATAGCAGAGCCTTTCAGAAGAAGAGCAGCGGTGGCAGTGCTGACTTGTTTTACGGCTCAGTGGCCTCTGTGTATGCTGTTCACTTACCTCCACTTTGTGGCATCCCCAATGGTGATCTGCTTCTGAGATGTCAGAGCACTGTGTGACCACTTTGAGAACAGAGGCATGTCCCTCCTGGGGACCATCCTTGCCCGATGCCTTCACATCCTCAGAGCAGTGCAGGGAGCTATGGGGCCGGGCATTTCTATTTCTCACACAATTACATATGCTCATTTTCAGAAAAAGACCTCTGGGGTGAGGTTAACCTGCTGTTGTGTTCTCTCACACTATGAGGCTGTTCTGTACAACGGGTGCAGGGGGAGTGTGCAGGTGACAGGGCAGGGGTATGCGCGGGTGACAGGGCAGGAGGTGTGCGTGGGTAATGGGGGCAGGGGGTATCCACGAGTGACGAGGCAGGAGTGTGCGCGAGTACTGCTAAGTGCTGAACTGGAAGCGTCATGAGGACATGGAAGTGCGGTTGACCCTGATGGCAGCTGACTCACCTGGCAGCCTCAATTCTCTCGAATTGAAAATCAGTTCCAGGTAGATGTGAAACAGACATGCAGATGTCACCTTCCACCGGCTGTAGCTGCATGCTCTTTCTTCTGGTCAGGGTTGGCGGTGACTTTCCGCACGGTGTCCTGACTGTGTCCACCCTGATTCCGAGGGACTCTGCTCGCTCAGCTGCCCACGTGACTCTTCCCAGATTCACGTTGTGTTGTTTCTTACACGACTCTGGGTAATGATTTTTAAAAGTAACTCTTCACCTGGTAATCACTTATTGATTGGTCTCTACATTATAAATGCTTCCTCACACTTACGCTCCTTGAAATCCTGTTTGTTATGAGCTAATTCATTTTATTTCTCTGCTTAGATGTAATTGAGATTGATGTCAAGAACGGCTGATAGGTATTGGTAAGTGCTCTAAACCCTGGGCTTCTGAGAGCTGAGTGTGCACTACGGTTCTCCCTTAGGTCCCAGCGTCTACTGAATTCTTACCGAGAACACGCTCCTAGTATAACACACCTGTCTGTGGACGTGGATCAGGCACCATGATGCAGTAGCAAGCACAGGCCGGGCACGAGGGAGCCTGGCCACAGAAGGATGAACGGAGAGGAAGAGTTCTTTGATGCCGTCACAGGTGAGTCGAGAGAGGGAACGAGCCAAAGGTTAATGGGCATGAGGGTCACTGGGTCCAAATGGACTTAGTGTCTGGGAGTGGGACATATGAAAGTGACATGTGACACTGGATACTGACTCTCCAGTAGAAACATCACATCCTGTCTCCAGTGCGGGGAAACCTTGACTTTGGCTCACAGGAGACCACGTGAGAGGTGGTGGTGGTAGTCTTCAAGAGAGCATCCTGGGGCAGACGTGCTTGTGTGAGGGGGCCATTGCCCTGTGTTCTTTGGGCCCAGAGGTGAAAGTGGGTCAATCCAAGACATCTTGCCCTGTGCTGCTTACAGTGTGTCCTGGCAGCTCATGGTCCCAGAGTTCTGTGATTCTTTGCTTCCCATGGCCATGTTGAGTAGCGACTGGCAGCCTGTGGTGTGAAGGGACCCCCTACCATACCCCCTAGCCCCGCCTGCTGGCATGGAGGGATGTGGGTGAAGAGCTTGCTCATGTTGGGAATGCTCAGCAGCAGAGCAGGACATGTATGGCTCTGCTGCAGCCACCTGCTTGGCCTCACCAGCCTGCTCTTGGCCATCACCCTGCTCCGAGGCCAGTAGCCCTCCCTGGCAGGAAGAGACTTGTCACGGCCTTGTCCCAACCTGCTCCAGAGCAGAACTCAGCTGCTTCAGTAACTGGCCCAGTCAAAAGGACACACATGCCCTCCTCTTCCCGAGCCGCCCATCCTTCATGGAAGGTCCCGGACACCACCCAGCAGCGGGTGTTTGTCTTATGGGAGGGTGGACCAGGAACACCTGCACCACTGAATCCATACACACTCTGCACAGCTTGTTCTCCAGGGTCCCCTTTACATGGAGCCCTCTCCAGGTTCAGCCACGTGTGTGACATTCCCGTGGTCCTCTGTGGACTTGATACAGTCTAGTGATGTGTTTGTGTGCTGTGGTGGCTGTTCATGCTGCGGCAGTCTCATTCCTTTGAAACCCCATCAGCAGGGCGTATTTTAGAACAAGATGCAGAGCACAGTGGCAGACCTTGTGCAAATCAGGGCACACTGTGGCGGGGTAGCCTTGAATCCTATGGAGGTAACCCCCCCAAGGGGCATGGGTCACAGACTTCAGGAAGGTGTCTGTCCTGAAGCTGAACCCCAGCCACAGGCAAGTCTCCAGGGGTGTGATGTGCTAATGGGGAAAGCCCCAGGCGGGGTCCGTGCCTGCTCTGCCCGTCCCCTCAGAGCACAGGGTCAGTGATTCTGGGTGTGTCCATGGAAAGCAGCTCAGGGCTTTGGTAGTCCTCTCACATATCAGGGCTTTTAGAGGCAGGCTTTGATGTCTTCCATGCCCAGCACAAATGACCATTTTCTTGTCTTGTGCAGGCTTTGATTCTGATAACTCTTCTGGGGAATTTTCAGAGGCAAATCAGAAGGTCACAGGAATGATTGACTTGGACACCAGCAAAAGTATCAGGGTCGGGAAGCTTGGGGAGAGGCCCTCTCGGGAGAATGGCGTTCAGAAGCACAGGTATGCATCATCTGCATGGTGTTGTTTAGAATTGTCCACAGTGTGTCTGTAATCTCCCCCAGGATGCTCTGTGGGCACCCTCCTTCTCACACGCTGACCCTGAGTAGCACCCTTTTACTCAAAGAAACATCCCAGCTCACCCTCCATCTGGTCAAGGTAGCGCCCTTCCCTCACCCTTGGAGCCCGGCCCTGAATCCTCCTCTGGCTCCAGAGCCCTGTGGCTTCTGGATCAACCACAGGGGCCTCTTGGATCCTTCCCACATCAGGCCCTCACTGCGCTGCTCCCTGGCCTGGGGCGCTCTGTCTTTAGTTTCTGCTCTTCCTTCCCATCTCCACGCAAGGCTCTTGTCTTCAGGTGACCCTCTCCTGCCCCTCCGCAGATCCATGTCCCCTCCTGGTAGCCTTGCATCTGGGATGCTCGCCGGTGCCTGTGTGGACGATGTGGAGTGGGACCAAGAGCCTGCATGGTGGGGGCGGAGCAGGGACGGAGTGGGCCTGAGCACTTGTAGCTGGTGGCCTGGCACCTGGCACTTGGTTGTCTCCCAGCTGCCATGTGGCCTCCCTCTGGGCCCCTGAAGTCGGCAGCATGCTCTGACCCAGCTGACTTGACATGGCATCCCCGAGGCATAGCCCGGGGTCTGCATCAGGCTGGACAAGTGCTTTTATCATCTGAGGGTTCCAGTACTGGTGTGAGGCACTGTTGGTTGCATGTGCAGAGCAGTTCCTGTGAAATGGAAGGCTGTGGGCTGAGGGAGCTAAGGGCCCCATTAGCAGTTTGTATCGGCCCTGCATGCTGCTTCCAAATCTGAACTCACGTCTCTACTCAGACACCCTCCCTCTCAGACGGAGACAGTGTCTCGTTCTGGCTCTCTGTTCCTATGAGGGCAGCAGGGCTCCCTGGTCAGGGGTGCCCCATCCAGCCAACTATAGCAGTATTTGGAGTTCAGGTCTCCTGGTGGAGATGTGGCTTCTGGAGCTCCCCTGTGGCCGGTTGGAAGACTGCCTGGCGAGGAAGGCACCTTGGAAACACATGTACTTGGGGTCTGAGAAGGTTTTTTAAAAATCATTTTTTGCTCTCAAGGCCTCAGCTTATCTGTAGTCTGGTGCTGCCCCTCAGGGACTGAGCAGGATACCCTGGAGGGTCATGAAGGTGTGGCAGAGGGGCTTCCTCCTGCTGTCGCCCTGCCCCCAGCTCTGGGAGGACACCGTGGCGCAGCCACTGCAGGTTTAAGACCCCCCCCAGCTCTGGGAGAATGCCACGGCGCAGCCACTGTGGGCCCCAGACCCCAAGGTCACCTTGTCCTGGGCGTTCCCAGGAAGCCTTTCTTTGAGACTTGAACAGCAGTCAGGTCTCCGCCTATGCCCACCCTTCCCCCCCCCACACACCAGAATGTAGACATGCCCACGTTTAGATGCACAAATACAGAGACGTGTGGTTACTGAGCATCCACGGTGACTCCAACACTGCTGCCCTTGCTGCTCCTGCAGGACATCACTACCGGCCCCCATGTTCACCAGAAGTGACTTCAGCGTGTGGACCATCCTGAAGAAGTGTGTTGGCCTGGTGAGTCCTGTGGCTCAGCCCATGTTGAGCGCTTGTGGGTTAATTCCCATGAGCTTACTGCTGCTCTGGTAATTTTAGAAACGTGCTCTGCATGTTTATGGACAGCATGAAGTTGAGACAATAAATGGAAGGGCCAGGGATGGTGGCTCAGCCTGTAATCCCAGCACTTTGGGAGGCCGAGGTGAGTGGATTGCCTGAGCCCACAAGTTCGAGACCAGCCTGAGCAACTTGGTGAGACCTTGTCTCTACAATAAATAAAAAAATTAGCCAGACATGGTAGCGCACGCCTGTAGTTCTGGCTACTTGGAAGGTTGAGGCAGAAAGATTGCTGGAGCCCAGCAGGTAGACGCTGGGGTGGCCGTGAGTATACCACTGCAATCCAACCTGGGCAACAGAATGAGACTCCAACTCAAAAAATAAAAAATTAAAAAAAATAAATGGAAAGAATAGACATGCCAGGGAAGGGTACTTGTGGGTCCGCTCCTGGTGTTCTGTGGGGTCTGGGGACTTCTGTGAGACCCCTCGGTCACATGCAGGACTCGGGACAAGAGCAGCCCTGGGCCTTTGTCAGACACTGGGGTTGGTGACAGAAGAGCCAGCTGGCTGTGAGTGTGCCTGGCAGCCCCTGGCTTGCCCCACGGTCCTTCCTGCCTGTCCACTCTGTGCCCTGCTGAGAGTGCAGGGCATCTGCATAAGTGTCCCCATGCTGTTCACGGTTCTGCGTGGCAAGGACTCCTCCGTTAGACGTCTGTGAACACACGGCTCTTTCCCAGACCACTTACTTCTAAGCCTTTTGTGTTTTGCTTTTATCTGTTTCACTTCTTCTTTTCCCCCAGAGGAAACCTCATTTTTCTCCCACTTCTTATTTTATTTATTTACTTATTAGAGGCATGGTCTGGTGCTGCTACCCTGCAATGGTGTGACTGTGACTCACTGAGCCTCGACTCAAGCCATCCTCTAAACTCAGCCTACTGAGTAGTTGGGACTTAGCCACGGGCCACCATGCCTGGCCAATTTTTTTTTTTTTTTTTTTGAGTTGGAGTCTCACTCTGTCACCCAGACTGGAGTGCAGTGGCCGCTCCTGGCCACCGCAGCCTCAACCTGCTGGGCTCCAGCGATG